AATTGAATACGCGTTAGCTACCCTTATTGTTTTGAGTTACGATTGCATGTATTATAAATTTCGCTATGTTGTTTCTTTCTTGTTTAACGCTGCGTATGAGTTGTACATGGCTTTAATCAGATTATTCAAGTAGGCCGATTATGTACACCATGGAAATCCTTAATATTTAGGAGAGAAACTTTAGTTGCACACACACATATGCAAATGTTATATATTTTTCGAAATACCCATTAAATCCACCGATATATGTAAGTCCCATGGATTTTTTTGGCTTCGGATACCTGAAAAAAAATTCTGCGCCGCCGTAAAACTTATCAGGGAGTTTGGAAAGTTTTTTTTTATTACACTCTCCTGATCTGAGGTCAACTGTGGGGTCATTTTTGAAACTAGAGAGCTGACATGTCACTACACTTAAAATTTGGAGCCGAAATTCCAACCCGTTTTGGAGAAATTGAAGCTCAAACTTGTTCAATCTTGAGCAATACACTCTCAGTAGATAGGTTTTAAAATGCTTGCAAAAGACCATATTTAAAAATCCGAATTGAACATATTTATATGACATTTGATTGATATCCAATTTCTTTAGCTTGTTTGTAATGTTATAAAATGTTACACAAGGCTCATAATTGTATGTAGCAGTAATTACTTTATTAAAAAATATCCACTGTGAAGTGACCCAGCCCGGCCTTCTAAAAGCGGCAAGGGGAAAATATGGAATTGCGGAAAGATGCGCCCGATCATGTACGTTATTCTACATTTGAACTAAGCTATAGTCGAAACCCTGGGTCATAGTGTTGTACTTTTGTCATTTTAATTCACTTTTAGCTTCTAAGGGGCGCAAATTATGCGGGCGCAAGTGATGGGGCGTAAATGATGGGGCGTATATGATCGGGCGCATCTTTCCGCATACCAAAATATGTGTATACTTATAGAATTACTTAATAAGTAATATTCAAGCTATAGTTTAAAACTCTACAGCCAAATAATATTTTATTGCTGTTTGAAATCTAGTTTTTAAATGTGCTTAAAAGAAAAGAACACTTATCTAGATATGAAACTTAAGCATATAAAAACTTTATCACGCAATGTGAAATTCAGGGTTTGTAAAAACTGTAAAAAAAGTAATACATATTTTACGTGTCATATATTCCAAACACTCTGGATATAAAAGCTTCTAGAATTATTTTATACAAGTCAGTAAACAAATTTATTATTCAAAAGTGTCCAAAACCTACCATTTGTTTTTCAACAATATTAAAATAACATGTGCGTAAACACTTTTTTAGAAGCAACCAAAGCATTATTAAGCATCAGCGGTATGTACTTTTAATTCTCTAGCTTTGAATTCTATAAAAATATTTCGTAAATACTTATAAAGAGTAAATTCGCAAAAGTTTTTACAAATGTTTTTAAGTAGGATTTTTTTTTTGCACAAATAAAACCGTAATTGCGATACAATAATTTGTCAACTCTTAATGATTTAATTGTTCAAATCTCATTTTTTAAATAAAATCATTGAAACTACATCTTCCACCCGAGTGGGCCTAGAAACACGTCGTCCTGTGCTTTCCATAGTCTGGCCATTCCTCGAACCTCGCCAACCATCGCTTTCGAATAGACAAATTCCATTGTCATGCCGTCTATCACATTCCCTAGCCTCAGCCCGGGATTAATGTTAAGAATAATTTTGTAATCTAGATGATCAGGAAAGTAGGGGCTTCAACATGGTATAAAATTTGATGCTGTAGTCGCATTTTAAATTAAAATTTTATTAAAAATATGGGAACTAAAAATTTGGTCGTGTCTCTCTCTTCTCCTACTTTCTTGTATGATATGGATAGTTAAGCCGCAAATATGTGTGTATATAGGTAAACACATATTTAATTAGCTGATTTCTGTTGGCGGAATTTTTGAAATATACTTCTATATGGTCTAGTGATCTCCGGAGCAGATCGACTACTACATACATCCATACGTTAAAAACCGTCAAGACGCACATAAGAAGGGTTTAGGTAGCAATATCCTGTACGCCAAAATGCACTAGTTATGCACGAAGTAATTTCCTTCCTGTAACTAATAAAGTAATGAACTATCCGAAACTCATTGTTTTTCTCATTTCTTTTCCAACTCCTTAGTTCCACCTGAAATTAGTATGCCTTGAAGGGTAAATAATTTAAAGTTTTGAAATATGTATTTTATTTTTTTTGCATGCCAAATGAGAATGAAAAATAATTTGTGGCTTGTAAATAATATGAAATTCGTATGCTATGATGCATATGATTTGTTGTGATTATGCTTATTTATACATGTTTTCCAAGGTCTTTTATTTAATAAGATATGAGAGAAAGCAGAAAAACTATTCGCCTTACATCGGACACTAAAATAAAGTATACTAACCGGATCCGCAATACTTATTAATATTACCTGTATGACAAGCTAATAAGGGAATTTTAATCGATAACAAGAAACAGAGATCACCACTCTTCTTGTCTAATCTACATTACCTGGCCAATATCAGAGGTAAGTACGTCATGGCCATATGCATTGCAATATGGTGAAATACGCCATACGCTTATCATGATAGCATCTCTAATTGTGAGCATATAATTGCAGACGTGGTGTGATCAGTTAATAAATATCGTGGTACAAGTTAAGCAGCACATAGGCTGAAGTAGTCACAGCCTTACAAACTGGGATTTCGTCCATTCCAAAATTCATAAAAATGCCTTTCTGTATATTGAGGTGAATTATTGTATGTATAATTTAATAATCTCATCAATTTGAGAAGCATTAAACCCAATTAATTTGTATTCTAGCGCTGAAACCAACGGGAGGTTTTATCAGGATTGGCGCATACAACTATTTGGTCTGTCCCCGAAAATGATAGAGTTGATCAGGGTCGATCATCCTGAACTAAAACTAATTAAAAACAGTTACCTTGAAGTTCAAGGTTCTGGGAACTCCAAAAAAGTTCCTAAAACTAGCGATCCTAAAATTCAGACATTCTACTCACATATGCTTGACTTGGGGTACCGACTACAAGAATAACATTTTAATAAATATATTAATTTGGCAAATACAATCCAATTTATCTCAACTAGATCGATTTCTGTCCCGGAAACAATTTTAACAGTGGTTGTGGAATATCTCAATTCCCTTGAAAATCTGGGATTCACTGTGGTCAGCAACACAAATTCATTCGAGCAAGCAATTAATAAGTGGACTTATACTCTAAGAGCTTAATTTGAGATAAATACAACGCATAATTTATGGAACGGCATGTCAAATTTATAGTAAATCCTATTTTCGACTTGTTATGCTGCTCGAGTTAACTCACGAGAAGTACATTGTGCCTACGTCATCCACAATGTTACAAATGTTATGAATATTTTTTTGTTTCCGTAAATAAATATACTTGCAACCTTAATAAAATTATCAGTGTATTTATTACTTATTGACACAGGACTAAACGAAATAATACGTTCATAAACTTCGTATTAGCCCAGGCTTTTTATTTTATTTTATTTTACGCCATAAATAGGAAAACATACACCATATTTTAGGTTAGGTTACATTACATGATATACTCACAATGCAGTGCTTTCTTATGTAATACTGGGATATTAACGGGACTAATTTTAATTTGTTCCTATCCAAAAATAAGTGGACCCGTATTTTTGCTTTTTTCTTAATGCACGAATTTGAGCGCGTGGCGGGGATTTCAAAGAAAATTGCAGCTAAAATGCCGGATTTTCAAAATGCTCTAACTTTTTGAATTTTGGCTCGAATTAAAAAACTAAAAACATGTATGCTTAGAATTACTTCCTTTTCAATATAGAACTTATTTTTTTTACTTTTTTTTTGAAAATTACAATTTGTACCCAAATTTCGAAATTTAAAAAAATAGCAACTCCTATAAAAATTGTAATTTTCAAAAAATTAAATTCTATATTGAAAAGGAGGTAATTGGTAAAATAAAAGGTGAAATAATATAATATTTAATAATACACAGGTACACGAAATCATGCAAATAATTAATAATTTGAGTAACGAACGAACGGTAATGGGAACATTAGAAAAGGAAGAGTCAAATCAAAGACATATGTACATTCATTCATGGCGGAGAAGAAATTTGCCAACATTTTGCACATGAGTCAAGAAAAGTTTATTTCAAGGAAATTTCTAATTTAATGCAATGTAAATATTTATAACATAAATTTACACATGTTACAATCCAATTTGGTTTCTATCCACGGATAGAAAATGCTGAGTTATAGATAATTATGTATTATATCATTTCTTACAAGGGACCCTTCCAATGGTGTCCAACGACTGAAGGGTCGACACCTACACCAAAACGTGCACAATACACGACTTCCATTGTGAACTGAAGGAATTTCCGTGTAAAATTCACTTTTCGTCAAGTTGTGACGATGTTTGTGACGAGCGCGTGACCATCGAGCGCAATGAGTTTCCAGTGGGGGAGTCCCACTCCGATCATCCTCTCCGTTTTTTGACTTCGACCTTGCTGATTAGAAAATCCATCTTCAAAACCAGATTTTTTTTTTAATTTCAAAAAAAGCTGAAATTAAAAAAATTTGAAACTGTGATGAAATTTTTTCAAAATTTTGATATTTTTTTGAAATTTAGAAATTTTTTTGAAATTTTGTAATTTTTTGAAATGTAGGAAACTTTTTGAAATTTTGAAATTTTCAAAAAATTTTGAAATTATTTGAAATTTTGAAAAAATGAATGCAATTTCGATAAAATTAAAAACAATGGCATTTTTGAGAAAATAAAAAAAGAACGATATGAAAATATTGCTTAATTTGGAGATGGATTTTTCATGGACGAGGTCAAGGTAAACAAAGGGAGAGGATGAGCGGAGTCCAACTCCCCCCACTGGAAACTCATTGCGCTCGATGGTCATCCGCTCGTCACAAACATCGTCACAACTTGACGAAAACTGAATTTTACACGGAAATTCTTTCAGTTCACGACAGAAGTCATGTGTTGTGCACATTTTGGTATAAGTGTCGACCCTTAACTCGTTTTACACCCTCGGTAGTATTCCTTGTTAGATTTACAATGGCTTTCCAATCCTTTACCCAGTAGTCGCATCATTATATTTCGTGTAGTGTTTTTAGACATATAATAAAATATAATCACCCGCCACACCATTGCCATGACAGTGCTGAAATGTTATAAGATTTTATTGATTAATTAAGCTATATGTATGTACATTATGCACATAAATATATTAACGGTACTAGCTTCCTCTGGTGAACAGATAATATAAATATGTTGTACTAAAATAAAGCAGCAAATTTATAATATGTATATTTCGTCATATTTTGCTCGTATTTGGTTTTCATCGCTCTATAGTATAGAGCGATGAAAACATATGTACATACGTAACATACGAATCGGTCCTAAGTACCAACAACTTATTACGAAGTGAATAATAACGTATCACGCAAATATTTGATAGTTTTTTTTATCTATTTTGCAGAAAACTGCTTGATTAAGGAAATCGAAAGATTAGATATAAAATTATGAAAAATAGGTTCACATAGATTCCGTAGGGTCTTTACGTATTTTTTCAAAAATATCCGTTTTAGTTGAATTAATAATTTTCCAGACCACGAGCTTATGCCCACGCACAAAATTATTTGCATAGCTACATGAAAAACAAGCGAGTTGAAATTAAACTAAAAAGTCTACACATAATTCTTATAAAAAAACGGAAAAAATTATAATATAATATCATTATAAAATTAGTAACAATTTTGGAGTTGATTATAAGATACTCACATGAACAATGGTGGACCCTGCCAATCCCCGCAGAATTAGATAATAACGGCAATATATGTCCACGCTTTTCTTGAACGCGGTGTTCACAGATTTATATTCCTTCTCTACAAGCATCCATTAAAAATACTATGTACAAGCCGGTGGAAAGTTTATATTAATAAACGTGGTTTATACCCATATCAGCGAAACTTATCCAACCAGTACTATTCCAGAACCCGTCCACATTAGGCACTCTCCAATATTCATATTGCTGTTCAGCTTTAGCACTCAAGTTACTATTGATGGAAGTCATGTTAACAGAAGTTAACATGTATTTCAAAAATTGCGTCGCATTCCATGACATTTCTGGTTTTGTTAAGGTTTTCTGAAATATTTAGATGAAAAGCGATAATAGTATGTCAACATGGACCTCAAATACCTCAAATATTTCTAGGCAATATTAAGATTTATTTTATCTTATGCACTACAAAATTGGTAGCACGCGAAGTGTTAAATTTCATTCTAGTTCATTTAGGAATACTTATTACTGTTTAGGTTAGTTTTATTAAGTTTCACCACATAATTCATACCACATCGGCTGATTCCGTGTGCGATAAGAATTTCGTGTTAACTTTTCTTGTGTTAAATTAGGGTACGACTTTTTTTAGAAGTTTAACTTTTACATGTAACGCTTATGGAAATCTGATAGTTTTAAATAAAATCATACCATAATAAAAATATGATCCTACAGCAATATTATAATTGGTGTAACAAGAGCGAGATATTGACACTACATCAACCCTACGAAACTCGTGTATGGCAATATTACTAAATTTATTTGCGAAAAAAATACTTTTAAAAAATCACATTGGCCTTATACCAACTTGAAATGTTTAATGTTTAAAGTTTAGCCTGTACTTACACCGGAAGGGTAGCTGTAGTTTATTACATAATAAAAAATATATTACCCTGCATGTTTCAAAGATCAATTAACATTTCAACATCTCACAAGCACATAAATTATAAAAATATGCAATAAGTACCTTCCAATCAATCGGGTTTAATGCACACGCCTCCACACAACTTCCCCAAACGGCTGACTTATTAACAAAATCCTGGACTGACAAGAGGCATTTCTCATAGCGTTGTCCAGACTCACGCTGCACTAATTGAAATGCAATTAACTGGTCCACGTCCCATGGAAGGGATTCATTTTTACAGCATTGGTAATGCTGAAGACAGCCGTGACTGGCCGGAATATGCGGGCAGTTCTAGATATGGTACATACATATGTGATTGAATAAATTTATACATAGATTGTACGACTTCTATAAGGATCAGACTGCCCTACATCGGGGGAGACTACTGTTCAAGAAAGTTGGAAGATGGATATTTAATTAGTCTGAGAAGTTAGGCTGTTAAAATACAAAATGTCCTTCATCTCCCCCCCCCCCCCGAGAATAACCAGGTTACAGAAACCGGATGTCATAACGGTTCAAAAGCCATCATGCACATATGTATAGGGGCGGACAGAGGGACAAGGCATTTCCATAAAGCGCATCGCTTCTCTCCTTCGCAGTAAATAAAGTTTAATGAATTTGTTGCATTACTTACCAATGCTGGATTATGTTTCCGAGTGGATTGGATTCTCAACGAATTTGTCTTAATACCCTCCGATGAAGCGCATTTCTGTTACATACATAAATAAATAAAAAACACATCAGAACATTCATTTATTACTATCAATTCAAACTCCTTCAACCGGATACCTTTTCTATATTTGAGTAATAACAGTTATCCAATATTTTATATTTCTTGTAGAATTCCGACTCCTTGCCTGCCTCTAAATAAAATAATGTATGTGTATGCATTATGTATAGAAAAGGATATGCATAATGCTTATCCTTTCTCATGGGATGCTTATGTTTTATTAATTGTACGTTCTAACCTGGACACAGAGACGAACTTTTGTCTAGAATAGCTGCCCTGACAACTTCATTCTTCGTGTAGTTGACCGTCCGCTCCTTCCAGTTCACAAAGTCGGTGTAACTTATTTCCGTCGTACCATTCTGTGATTGAGGTCATGAAATGATTTAAATTATATAATTTTATTAAATGAAAAGTGAGCTTTTCTACGGAGAGATTGATAATTTGAAATAGGTAGTTTTAATGTCCATTTTTCCGTAAATGTTCAAAAATGTCATAACTGTAAGTGTTGGCAAAGATCTTTGTTTCGACCTTCCGGTCATCTTCAGAACACGAAAGAAATTGAAAATTCTAACATTTTGTCGGAGAGAGAATCAAACACAGACAGAGACGACAAAATTGAAACACACAACAAACTGTTGTGATTATTATTCATGGTGGCAACGACCTGTTGTCTTAGCCATGAGAAGACATCAAAATTTACGAAAATTCTCTGAAAAAATTTGAAAAATTTGAAAAAATCAAAATCTGGAAATGTTGGGGGAAAACTAACTGTTTTCTCGCCTGACAAGATATTTATCTTTTAAAGATGGAAATTTACCCCGGACATTAGGATTCTTTTATTAAATGAAAAGTGAGCTTTTCTACGGAGAGATTGATATATATTTATATACTATACAACTTTATGTTAATTTTGCTACTTATCTTACATTCTGTTTTTGGTACATGCACGCCGCTACTTTCCACTGAAATTAAAAGCCTGTACATATTACATATTAGTTAAAAGGTCATTTTGCTAGAAATCTTTTATGTAGTATCAGAAAAAAAGATAATTCCAATGTCCTTGCGCATATGTATTTGTCGCACAATCCCCAAGTTCACCAAACTTGTAAATTAAATGATACATGAGCGGAGCATATGTATGTAGATTTAATGTTTTCATACCAGGTAAACCGCAATCTTGTCCGACTTAAAGTGTGGCGACACTTCCTTCTGACATACCGAGTAGTAGCCGTTGGAATGATGAGAAGCAAAAAGTCTGACACTGCTAGCTTCATCCAATTCCGGAGTTTCATGTTGACTTATCTGCGTACCATTGCAGCAGAAACGTGGAGGATATTCGCGGATAGGGAATTTTGGATAGTCGTCGCTTAAACATAGATCCGTCGTCTCGTTAAATCCCCATTCAGACGTTGCGAAGTTGGCAAAAATCGAAATTACAAGAAAAATTAGGGAGGATCGAACTAAAGTGGGCAACGGACTTAAATATTGAGCCATGGTAGGATATTCCGACTAAGATGTACATTTCATCTGAGCTTTGGGATTCTGCACTAAAGACTTATTTATAAATTTTTAAGTTTATTCATATATATTAATATGTATCGCATGCAAATCCACTAAATATACTGCGTGTATGTATAAAACTGTATGTACATATAAAGAACCGGATGTACATACCTTTATAAATAAATACAACTAAATACTTCATCGCATGTCGATAGAAGTGTATTATTTAGTAGCTAGGACAATGCATTCGTAGGTGGAATTTGGAAATATTATTAAATCCGAGCATTTTTTGAGGATCTAAGATGTATCGTGAGATATATCCTGATTTTGCAGTGACGAAATTTATCTACTTATTTTATGTGTGGTTAATAAATATGCGTAGCTTTTATTACTCTAAATCTAAATAAAATTGAGCAGAATTTAAAATGAAATTTAACCTTATTAGTGTGAAGTTGGCCTTTCCTTTTTTTTCGCAGCCTTGAATTCCATAGCCGAAAATAGCCGACTTGTGTTTGCTTGTTTAAGGGTTTGCCCTTCCCGCTCGGAATTTTTTACATATGGGGCAACGTGAGATTCGCTCCCAATGCTTCAGAATCACTTCAAATTCAAATCAGCTAGCCTTCCCGCCAAAAGCTGGGGCAATTTGAGACCTGTGCTAATTAATTTATTATTATGCTTGCCAAGTATCGTGATGATCTAAAATGTAATTTTCTCATCAAATCAAGCTAATTCCATCCTGGCGAAGCCAGGATGAATCCATTCGTATATTCGTAGCATATATGTACAAATATACATATAAATATGCATATGCATATGAATGTACATGTACATGCATACATTCTTCGGATAAGGATATCAAACTTCATTGCTATCAAACAAATACTTCATCTCGGATGGTAATTTATGGGCCAATCAACAGAAAAACCTTAGAAAAAATCAGCATTGTTCCTATTGAAATCAGAAAAGATTTCCCATCAGCAATTGCTCACGCTGGATATACCGACTTATGCAAACAATTTAAGCACGCAGTTATGCTCTGCAATTTTTATATACCGTAATGGCCTCCAATTAACAAAAAACTCATTGCATTATTTGAAAAACCTGCTTTTTCAGATAATCATTTCTAGAAAACGGCTTCGCAGCGGGTACTCAAATTTATACCAAAATTACCCCACACAATTGTCTACAATATGTACATTTCAGCTTTACATGCAGCCTCCAAATACCAGAGAAAAATCCGGGTGAATTTCTTGATGTTCACTTTGCATTATATGAAAAACCCGTTTCTTCCGATTAAGATTTCTAGAAAACGGCTTCGCAGCGGGTACTCAAATTTATACCAAAATTACCCCACACAATTGTCTACAATATGTACATTTCAGCTTTACATGCAGCCTCCAAATACCAGACAAAAATCTGGGTGAATTTCTTGATGTTCGCTTTGCATAATTTGAAAAACCCGTTTCATTTTGATGCGCGGAACATAGCTGTGGCACTTTTAGTACGCTCACAGTAATTCTTGAAAAGGTACTGGCTTCAAAAGTTATAACGCTATGTTTATGGGGCAAAATCTGATAATCTGAAAATATGTACTTTATACAGATTTAGTATACCCTGGTCATCTCATAATGACGGTTAGTAGCGCGTAGTTTAGAGATTGATTAGATTCTATTGATGACACGTCCGTACAAATTGATGAAGCTATTCCAACAACTACAGAATTACCAAAGTGCAAACCTGTAAACCTCATTAATTCTAATGTCCATAGTCACATGCCCCTGTTACCAACTTATGACGCCATGATTTTGGCCAACACACCACTGAATTTGTGGAACGTTCAGCTTAATCCTGAGATATTGAATCATGTGAGACTTCACCAGTCCAATTTGGTTTCAGTGGAAGTTTTACAAAATCCGAAAATTTCACCTTGGGTGGAGCACGTCCCTAATAATGATAATAATGCCAATTACCATTTTCGATGCAAGTGGTGCAATGCATTCCTGGAGAATGATAATCGAAAGGACCGGAAGGGTTCAAAATACCCTAGCAATTTGATGATCCAGGACGGAATGCTGCACGACAGCAAGAACAAAAATGACAATGATCTTCTGAGAACGATATTCATTTGGATGCTCTCGACTATGCAAAGGAGTGTGCTGGACAAGGTGACAAAAGGCAGTCTAGCATAAGTGCACTCCGGCAATCATACCCCCCGCAAGAAAGGTATTGGATACCTGAGGTCAACCTATTCAAAATGGCGGTGGATCACGTACAATCTGGTACCGCAATTTCAAGGTGGCCCCAAAGGATGAAGAATTTACACGCAATTGATGCAAACATTGGACACATTCATCATTCCGAAAAGGGGCTTAAACTTATAATGACTTCAATAGCCACAAAAGAAAAAGCTAAACTTTTTCTTGAAGTCAACAAAGGGAACCCCTTATCTATAATGATGGATACATACCAGGTAAAAATATTTATTTATGCATTCTTTGATAATTTGTTCCTCAAAGTACAAATGTCTCAGGATGTGAAAGGACGGCATCTGCTGGGCGTAATATTCATGATGTTGTATGGTGGGGTTCCCAGCATCAAATTTTATCGATTGATCGAATTGGAATCCGATCTGAAAAGTCAAGCAATGTTTGATGCGCTTATTCTGGAGATGGAGAAGGATGGAGTTCATGTTGCAGTACAGACCAATTTAATTGGGCTAGCTGCTGATGGTGCCTCTGTTAATTTTGGAAAGTATGAATCTGTGTACACTAAGCTCATGACTTGGACCGGTCGATCTTTGGAGAAAATTTGGTGTTTTGGCCACAGGTAAGTTGTAAGCTTAACTTCTAGTAATCAATTCAACATGAATTTTTGTGGATTCTAGAATCAACCTAGTTGTGAAGGCCCTTATTGAAACCCAAGATCCTGATACGATTCTTGAAATTGTTGAGATCAGACGAGTTATGAAATCACTGAGTCGCTTGGCCAAATTATTTGGGCCCAAAACAATTTGGAGAGCAATACTACGGAAGCAAGCTGAGAATGATAAGATTCGGCCGCATAATTTAAAGAAAATTACAACCACGAGATGGGCTAATGATAAGCGAGTTGCCTTGGTCTCTGTCCAACATATGTACCCAAGCATTATAAAGACGTTACGAGCCAGAGCAGAGAGTGCTAGCATAACGACTGAACAGAAAAACGAAGTTCAGGATTTGGTTGACATTATGACGGATAAGAATTACGTATCAACATTGGCTTTCATGATAGACTTTTACGAAGTGTTAGACCGATATAGCAAATGGGTTCAAAAAGACAGTTCAACTCGTCTCAATGTTGCATTATTTCGACAAAGATTTATGGCCGGAATGAGACGGTTGTTTGTCGGTCCCCTGCATCACCTATCACCTTGGCGTGTTCCTAAATGATGTTGGTTCGTCGGAAGTAGATGAAAGTCAACGAAATAATCTCTACATGTACGAAAATGACAAGGATGGCGAGCTTGATGAAAATGGTGATGGCGATGGCGTTAAGAATTATAAGGGTATTTCATTGAAAGAGGACGATGATATTACATACAATAATCCAATACGCCTGACAAACTCTCGGAAAAGTTTCACCACCCGCATACTGGAACAAATACACCATTACTTCGACGAAAAAGAGAATGATGAATATCGTCATTTTCATCCCGACTCAATACAGCAGGCAGTTAGTAACTTGGCACATATGGACAGGACTGTGAAACCGCCATTTCTGAAAATGATGGAAAAATTGGGGTATGGGGAGCAGGCTCAAAAGGACCTATATGAGCAATACAAAGTAATCGTTCAACTGGCCGTTGGAGGCAGGAATTTTGGAACTATACGCACATTGTCTGTTCAAGAATTTTGGGAGCAGCTTTTACTAGATGAGAAGTTGCCATGGACAGCTGGCTTACGTCTAATGTTCAAAAAGATAATGGTGATACCTAGTGGTTACGTGAGGGTGGAAACATTGTTCAGCCTCACTGGATACGTTTTGACGAAAGGAAGACTGTCCCTTGATGTCTGCACCGCTGATAGCATTCTAACAATTATGATGAACTTGCCCCGAAATTTGAATAAGTGGGATGCTTTTGAGTACGTCCTTCATTTTTTGAATCAAGGTCGAAGTCGCACGGCAGATACTGGAAGTGCTCTCTACAAATCTTTGCAAGCCAAACATTCGGTTTCTCGAGCTGAGACTATCAAAAACCTACGAATCGGTGAAGTCCAACATGCGCTGGAAGAAGATAATGTAAACATAGAGGAAATGGATGACGATGATGACGATGATGACGACGACGACGACGAAGGACAAGATAATAAGAATCCAAGCAATTCGGACCTTGGTCTATTTGACATCTATTGGGATGGAACAAAGGATTAACTGCAAAGAATTGTAACTGCTATACAGTTAAAGTATATAGTCTAGGTGAATATTCTACCGTAGTCGAGCCCTTGTAGGCAATTAATATATATACTTACTGATTGGATGGATTTGGGTTAAAATAAACAGTAACATATCTGGATTAATCATTTGGTGTATGTAAATCCTTTGTCATAGCTGTGGATACTTATTACATGTGGCACACATGATGTCGAAATTTCGACATGTCTATGGCGACGGATGTCGGCGTGGATCAAAATCACCGATAATTTGATTTTCTTATGTTGTTTTATACGTTATTTAAAATTTGAGCTCGTTTTGGGTTGAAAATACAAAGATATATCTTATCATGGTCGCAGATAACCACTTCATAAGATATAATGGAGTATCATTTTAATTACAGTTGTTGTTATCCGTTGTAATAAACATACTGCTATTTATAGAGGCAACTATATATCATTATTTATACCAGCATTAGAATACATTGGTCATACTACTAGCTGGACTTAGAAATTTTTAGTCAACGTTGTTAAGCACGGAGATTGTGCCAAAATTTCGTAAGTCCCAAAAATTTTGAAAATTTCTTCCGAAACATATCGGGTTGTGTTCCTTGACACT